GTGTGTCAGGTGAGGTCTGGTGTATCAGGTGCGAGGTGTCCTGTTAGGTCTGGTGTGTCAGGTGAGTGTGTCCTGTAAGGTCGTCTGGTGTATCAGGTGAGTGTGTCCTGTGAGGTTGGTGTGTCAGCTGAGTGCTCCTTGCAGGGGTCCTGGTTTGTCAGGCTGGGTGCATCCTTGAAGACCTGGGTCGGTATTTGGAGGACCAAGGCTTCATCATGCCCCTGGACCTGGGTGCCAAGGGAAGCTGCCACATTGGAGGGAACGTGGCCACCAATGCAGGCGGACTGCGTTTCCTGCGGTATGGCTCTCTGCACGGCAGTGTCCTGGGGCTGGAAGCGGTGAGTGACCTCTTGTGGAGGCACCAGCGAAGGCCAGTGGCCTGGACCTGGCCATACCCTTAGGAAGGGCAGGCCTCCTTTTCTGGAGCTTTCTGCCTGGGGGGTAATTGTGCCCCTGACGCGGTGATCTGGATTCCTGTGGGGACAAGACCTGAGTAGAGTTTCAGCGTGGCTTCCAGTGGGGCTCACTGACATAGTGCCTGCCCTTGGGTGCTGTGGTGCCCACCCAGGCTCACCAGGCACCTGCCACCTGTTGGTGTCAAAGACCTCAGGGGAGGGATGGGGAAGGAAGGGCAGGAGGGCCTGGAGCCACTTTGTAAGCTCACCCGTGAACCATGGAGTGCATAAGTCTTCTCACCTCTACATAGCAGGGTCCATCACTGCCCTCACCCATGCTTCACAGGTCCTCCATTTCTGTCAGGGGAACTTAATCTTCTTTTCCTTTAAGCCTGTTTTCTCCTCATGGGCTTTCTCTCTAAGTCTGTACCAAGCAACAGCTAATAAGACTCAGGCCCCAGGTCAGGGCCGCACCTGTTGTGTGATGATCAGAAATTCCTTAATGACTGTACCCACAATCTGCTCTCCCTACCCTTCACTGTTTCCCCTGGGATGGCTTCTGCACGGGGATGGAAATTCTGTTCTTGCCCAAGTCAAGGCATGGGTGGCACTGTGGCTCTCAGCTCCCTGTCTGTTCTCCTCCCAGTGGATGGGGTCTCTGCTCTAATCTAAAACATGGTCCTTTTCATCCTGATGGGCCAGCTGTCACCTTTCTCAGATAAGTGCAGGCTGGGCCAGACTGCCCTGGAGGGTGTGCCATGTGGGAGGTGCACCCTCTGTCAGCCGTGTGCCCTCATCCCCTTCCCAGGTTCTTGCCGATGGCACGGTCCTCAACTGTCTGACGTCCCTGCGGAAGGACAACACGGGCTATGACCTGAAGCAGCTCTTCATCGGCTCTGAGGGCACACTGGGCATCATCACCGCTGTGTCCATCATGTGTGCACCTAAGCCCAAGGCTGTGAATGTGGCTTTTCTGGGTAAGCTTGGGGTCGAGATGTGCCTGAGCTCTCAGCTGGTGCTCTGAGCTGCTATGCTGGAGGTGGGCTTGGTGAGGGGGTGCACAGGAAGCACGCTCCTCATTTCCTCTCTGGGCTTCCTGCCAGCTTCCACTGGGACTAGACAGTGGCCTGGGCTCCACACTTCCTTCCCTGAAGCAGATTTTTGAAGAATGTGCTAACGTGCACTTCCTCCAGGCCTTCTGCCAGTCTCTTCTCACCTCCCTGCTTGCCTTTGTGTGGACCGTGCCATTCCTTAGAAGTGTCAGCGGGCAGCACACTTGACACGGCCACCAGTTTCCGAGCATGGTGACCTCATGTGCTGGAGTGGACAGTGCTGCAGTCACATTCTGAAGTGATCAGTGTATTTCAGTTTATCATGAAGTGCTCTGACCTTGGCTTTTTAGTCAAAGTCAGAAGAAAAGATATAGGAAGAACAGTCCCTCTGAAGAGAGTAAGAGTGATAAACAGATAAGACTTGGTGAAGAATTCTAGGTGGAAAAAAATTACTGTCGTCAATTTCAACTCATGTTGAGCTGACTTAATTTGTTCATTAACTTGTTTCTTCTCTAGTGGCCTAGTGGTAAGGAGTTTTGCTGCCAACACAAAGGCAGGTTATTTTAATCTACCAACATCTGTATGGCAGAAAAAATGGGCAGTCTCCTGTGGGAATTACAGCCTCTGAAAACTAGCTGGAGGGCCAACCATGAGTTGGCTCTGACTTGATGGCCCATAGCATCACTCTTCTAATCAAGTGTCTTTGGTTTTTTAATTCATCCAGATCAGCCCCAGTGAAAAGATTTTCATCCACAGAGTTACCATCCCTGTCTGTTACCTTTGTTTCTTAGTGTTTTAGTTGTAGAGGGTCTAGGATGCCATTTTTCTAGTTTGCTGTTGTGCTGGACAGAGAAACAAAAATGCACCTTAATCTTTAAGCTGATGCCTTTGTTCATTGTTGTTCTTGTTAAGTGTTGTCGAGTGGACTGTTGTAGTGATCCTGTGAACCACAAATCTGAACCCTGTCCTGTCCATCTCTACTGTTTGAGGCCACTGTTAGAATTCCTGTGTTCGTCTGTCTTGTTGAGGATTCTTGATTGCCTTTGCTGACCTTCCACCTTTCAGACATGATGCATTTTTCCAGGGACTGACCTCTCCTAACCATATGGCCAAAGTGTATGAGATGAAGTTGTGCCATCCTTGCCTCTAAGGAGCACCCTGGTTGCACCTTCTCCAAAACACACCTGTTAGTTCTCTTACCAATCCATGGGATATTCAGTCTTCTTCTCCAAGATCACAACTCAAAGGCAACAATTCTTTGTTAGTTATTAATTGACAAAGTTTTACATGTATAGCAAGTAATTGAGATCATGGCTTGGATGAGGTGTACCTTAGTCTTTAATCTGACATCATTGCTCTTCAGCACTTTAGAGAGGCCCTGACAGTAGATTATGCAAGTGTAATGCAGCTTTTGATTTCCTTTGTGGATTATAGAGCCAAGTAAAGGGAAATAATTGACAATTTCAATCTTTTCTCCATCTATCATGAGCTTAGGGAACTCTGGTGGCCTGGTGGTAAGAAACTGCACTGCAGTCCTTAAGGCACACGGTTTGAATCCATCAACTGCTTCACAGGCAAAGGATGGACAATCTACTCCTGTGTAATTAACAGCCTCTGAAAACCTGCTGGAGGGTCAGCCATGGGTTAGTTCTGACTCAAAGGCACACAACAAAAACAATAATCATGATGTTACCTGTTGGCCCAGTGGTGAGGATTTTTCTTGATGTTTAGATGCAATCCATATTGCAGTCTTTGATCTTCTGCAGCAAACACTTCAAGTAGTCCTCATTTTCAGCAAGCATGGCGGTGTCATCTGTATAAGGCAGGTTACTGAGGGTCATTGTCTGATCCTGATGCCACATTCCTCTTCATAAAGTCCAACTTCTCCAGTGATTTGTTCAGAATACAAGTTGAGCTGGGTGTGATGGCGTGTACCTGTAGTCCCAGCTACTCGGGAGGCTGAAGCTGGAGGATCGCTTGAGTCCAGGCGTTCTAGGCTGTCGTGAGCTATGACAATCGGGTGTCCGCACTTAGTTTGGCGTCAATATGGTGACCTCTGGGAACAGGGGACCACCAGGTTGCCTAAGGAGGGGTGAACTGGCCCAGGTTGGAAATGGAGCAGGTCAAAATTCCCATGCTGATCAGAATACAAGTTGAATAGATATGGAGACAGGATGAAACCCTGATGCATACCTTTCTTTATTTTATTTTTTTTTAAATTTTATTTTTTTTTTTATGTGTACTAGCAGAAGGAAGAAATCAAGACATTAAGGAGTTGAACAGGAGATTTCAAAAGGTTGTGCGACAAGACAAAGTAAAGTATTATAATGAAATATGCAAAGAGCTGGAGTCAGAAAATCAAAGAGGCTGAACTCACTCAGCATTTCTTAAGTTCAAGGAACTGAAGAGGAAATTCAAGCCTTGAGTTGCAATACTTAAGTGTGCTTTGAGCAGAATATTGAGTGATCCTGCAAGTACTAAAAGAAGATGGAAAGAGTATAGAGAGTCATTATACCAAAAAGAATTGGCAGACACAGAAGAATTTAATGAACAACATATGAGCAAGAGCCTGTGGTGATGAAGGAACAAGTGCAGCCTGCTTTGGAAGAATTGACTAAGAAAATGGCCCCAGGAATTGATGGTATACCAGTTGACTATTTCAATTAACAGATGCTGCCCTAGATGTGCTCACCATGTTGTGCCAAGAAATCTAGAGAACAGCCAGTTGGCCAACTGACTGCGAGAGATCTATATTTCTTTCCATTCCAAAGAAAGGTGATGCCACGGAGTGTGGAAATTATCAAACAGTATCAATATCCCATGCAAGCAAAATTTTGCTTAAGATTATCCAAAAACGACTGGAACAGCACGTCTCAAAAGAGAACTGCCAGAAGTGCAGGCTGAATTTAGATGGGGCTGTGATACTAGGGATATTGTAGCTAATGTTAGATGGATCTTGGCTGAAAGCAAGGAGTACCAGAAGAAGGTCTATCTTTGTTTCATTGACTATGCAAAGGCATTTGAATGTGTGGATCTTAACAAACTGTGGCTGACTCTGAGAAGAATGGGAATCTGAGGACCAGGAGGCAGTCGTCAGAACAGAGCAAGGAAACACTGCATGGTTCAAAATTGGGAAGGGTGTATGCCAGGGCTGTATCCTGTCGCTATACCTTTTCAATCTTTATGTAGAACAGGTTACCTCGGAGGCTGGGCTCTTTGAGGAGAAATGTGGCATCAGGATTAGAGGAAGAATCATCAACAATCTGCATTATGCAGATGACACAAACCTGCTTGCTCAAATTGAGGAAGACCTGAAGCACTTGCTGTGGAAGATCAGGGTCTGCAGTCTTCAGGGTCTGCAGTCTTCAGTATGGATTGAGACTCAATTAAAGAAAACAAAGATTCTCACCACTGGGCCAATTGGCAGCATCATAATAGATGGTGAAGAGATTGAGATTGTTC